TCCTGTTCTTCCTGTTCTCCCCTTGCTCACAGTGCTCCAACCTCAGTGGGCACCTTGGTTCTATACATGTCAGGCGCAGTCCTACCTCAGGGCCTTCGTGCTTATTGTTCTCCCTGTCTGGAATAATCTTTCCCCACATTACCCTTTCTCTGGTTATTTCCCTCACCCCCTTCAAGTCTTTGATCAAATGTTACTTTCCCAATGCTTACCTTGATCTCCCTATTTAAAATTGCAACTAGCCTCCTCCCAATTTCCATACTTTGTCTCCCTTAGCTAGCTCTACTTTTTCTTTCCCCATAACACATAATTTTCTAAGATATCAAATAATATATTTACTATGTCCATTATTTATTGTCTGTCTCTCCCTCCCCCCAAGTATAAGTTCCACAATGACAGGGATATTTGTCTATTTTTATTTTTTTTTAACTTATAGATCTCAAGTGTGTACAACAGGGATAATAGCAGATGCTCAATAAATATTTTCTAAATGAGTATATAAATGGACTTGCCCCAAACCGCACAATCAATAAGGGATGCAATCAGGATTAGAATCTATGCTGTCTAAACCGAGGGTCTGCACTTTTAATCATTACACCATTTCTTAGTTTATTAGGGATGATCTATTTAGGGTAGTCATAGCTCGTCTACTATAGCCACCCCCAAGTCTTCAACTACTACCTTACACACATGTAAGAGAAAGACATTTCTTGTTAAAACAAAGAATTCCCCAAGAATTGAGCACAAAAGTGTTCTCAGAAGAATTCCCAGGTGTACAGGAATGACTACAAAAAAGGAACCCAGCCCATTTCCTAGACTATCACCATAGTAACCACCCCCATAAGTAGCTATAGCTGACCCTCAAGTGTACATTTTTCTCCCAATTGCTTTCATAACACTTCTACATGAATGTTCCAGTAGTACCTCAAATACAACATTTCTAAACATAACTTATTCTTTCCCTCTTTCTTATACACAAAACAAGCTCTCTATTCCCAGTTTTTTATTTATGCTATTACTTCTACCTGGATTATTCACATTTCTGCCTCAAAAGCCCTTCAAATGTTATCTATAAAGTCTTTCCTAATTAACCTACCTAGCATAATGTCTTCTTTCTTTAGAGTTCTATAACATATATAATGACTTTATGAAACAGCTTATTTGTCATCTATCATAGCTCACCCTTTTTTTAAAAATATATTTTATTGATTTTTTTTTTTTTACAGAGAGGAAGGGAGAGGGATAGAAAGCCAGAAACATCAATGAGAGAGAAACATCGATCAGCTGCCTCCTGCACACCCCCCACTGGGGATGCGCCCGCAACCAAGGCACATGCCCTTGACCGGAATCGAGCCTGGGACCCTCCAGTCCGCAGGCCAACGCTCTATCCACTAAGCCAAACCAGCTAGGGCATAGCCTACCTTTTAGACTTCTTGAGAATAAGGACCCTGTCTCATTTTTGTGAAATCTATACGGTCTGGTACATGCTAAAGTAGGGTTTTCAAAAAGTTAAAAATGTGACTTTCTCACAAATAAATATAAAATGAATGTGTCAAAGATCTTATTCAACTCTGTAATTAATGAAGAAATCGCCAATTCAAAGGATATTTTGAGACAGGGATTTATGTAATCAGTCAAAAGAATGCTGAAATAAATTTGCTAGTAAATGCAAAATTGGTTACTCTCCTACCAGCAATAAATTATAATATTTTAGCCCTAACCGGTTTGGCTCAGTGGATAGAGCGTCGGCCTGCGGACTGAAAGGTCCCAGGTTCGATTCTGGTCAAGGGCATGTACCTTGGTTGCGGGCACATCCCCAGTGGGAGGTGTGCAGGAGGCAGCTGATCAATATTTCTCTCCCATTGATGTTTCTAGCTCTCTGTCCCTCTCCCTTCCTCTCTGTAAAAAAATCAATAAAATATATATTTTTAAAAAATTATAATATTTTTTTTGTTGTTAATCCTCACCTGAGGATATTTTTCCATTGATTTTTAGAGAGAGTGGAAGGGAGAGGGGGAGACAGAGAGAAACACTGATGTGAGAGAGACACATCAATTGGTTGCTTCCTGCACGCACACTGACCAGGGCTGGGGGAACCTGCAAACATGGTATGTGCCCTTGATGGGAACCAAACTTCAGTCTGCGGACCAATGCTCTATCCACTGAGCCAAACCGGCTAGGGCTAAATTATAATATTTTAAGTTGTCTTTTTGGCCCTGGCCAGGTAGCTCAGTTATTTAGAGCATTGACCAGATACGCCAAGGTTTGATTTCCAGTCAGAGCATGTATAAGAATCAACCAATGAATGCATCTATAAGTAGAATAACAAATCTCAATCTCTCTCTCTCTCTCTCTCTCTCTCTCTCTCTCTCCCTTTTACCCACCCACCCTTCCTTCTTTCCTTCCTTCCTCTCTTTCTCTAAAAAAAAAAAAAAAAAATCAGCCTCACATTTCCTGGCTCAGTGGTTGAACATTGATCTATGAACCAGGAGGTCAAGGTTTGATTCCTGGTTAGAGCACATGCCCAGGTTTGATCCCCAGTGTGGGGCATGCCGGAGGCAGCCGATGAATGACTCTCTCTCATCATTGATGTTTCTCTCTCTCTCTCTCTCTCTCTCTCTCCCCTTCCTCTCTGAAATCAATAAAAAATATATACTTAAAAAAATAAATCGCCGAAACCGGTTTGGCTCAGTGGATAGAGCGTCGGCCTGCGGACTGAAGGGTCCCAGGTTCGATTCCGGACAAGGGCATGTACCTGGGTTGCGGGCACATCCCCAGTGGGGGGTGTGCAGGAGGCAGCTGATCGATGTTTCTCTCTCATCGATGTTTCTAACTCTCTATCTCTCTCTTTCTCTCTCTCTCTCTCTCCCCCTTCCTCTCTGAAATCAATAAAAAAAATATATTTAAAAAATAAAAATAAATAAAAAAAAATAAATAAATCAATAAATGAAGTTATATTTTCTACTGGAGGGAAATCAGTTGCTTCTCTACATAATGAAATTCATTTCCAGTGCTATAGACTAGAATAATCTGCATTGCTATTAGTGTTCTACAAATTAACTCTTCCCTACAGAGTTGTAGAATAAAAAAGTAAAATTTAAAGAACACCCAATGACTCATATACAAATATAAAATATCAAAGAGTTTATTCAACTCATTAATGCAGTAACTAATAAAATTTTATAACTAGATCAAAAGAAAAAGCAAATTACCACACATATGCAATCAAATAAGGAACGCTGAAATGAATTATAAATTGATAAGAACTGGGTTACAGTATCCACAGGGCAATAATCAATTACATGCATCCTCAAAATTGACATTTCTGTGGACAAGAACAATTCGTATAACTCATAGTTTTCTACAACTTACAGAGTTGTAAAATAGCTCAAAGACAATGAAAAGCACAGTTCTTATAGAATTGGATAACCTGGAAAGATGTGCTAGCCAACCTGTTTTTTCCACTTAAGTTACTCAGTAGTCTTTTAGTTCATTTGTCTTTCAGTTTTCCCATACTTTGGTCTAGTCAATAAAAGGTCATACCCCTTTATAATCTGGTAAGCCCCTCAGCGTCTGCTACACAATGCCTGATAGCACACTGAAAGAATATTCAGTTATCCTTTTTGCCTATTTCTAAGTTTGGGTAATTTTTCTTGACGTTCAGAATCTTACATATAGAAGGTGTTCAGGAGCATTTGAGATCTTGCTTCCCAGCATGTCCTGTTTGGCTCAAACTTTCATAAGATTTAGAGAAAAAAAATAAGTTGCTCAATAAATGTTTGAGGGGTTGATACTTGTAAATTCTGTAGTCCACATTTAGCTGTACCAACTCTGAGATGTCTCTGGAAAATCATACTGAAGGAGTATGATGTCTGTGACATGAATATAGTATTTATAGAAATAGAGCTTTTTATAAACTTGTTCCCTTGCATTCTGTTAGCCCCGAGATGCCTGAAAATGAAGCCACCTTCGCAATAACTGCTGGAGGAATTGGGGATGCCAAGGAGTAGGTGGTGAATTGATGCAAATTGCTTCTTAGTGCTTATTAGGAGATGAAGAAATAGAAAAGCAGTCTCACATTTCAGATCTTGATGTAAGAATTTGTTTTTTCAACATGTTATTAAAGGAAAGTTGGCAAGAGATTTAACTCATATTTATCTAAAAATGTAAAAAGTTCTTGATTTATAACTTTACATTGTATGTCAATTCATGAATATATATGAATGAATAAACCTATCAAAATAGTTGGGGCTCTAGCTGGTTTTTCTCAGTGGTTAGAGCAGGGGTCCTCAAACTACGGCCCACGGGCCACATGCAAATACAAATATTGTATTTGTTCCCATTTTGTTTTTTTTACTTCAAAATAAGATATGTGCAGTGTGCATAGGAATTTGTTCATAGTTTTTTTTTAAACTATAGTCCGGCCCTCCAATGGTCTGAGGGACAGTGAACTGGCCCCCTGTTTAAAAAGTTTGAGGACCCCTGGGTTAGAGCATCAGCCCATGTACCTCAGTTGCAGGCTCAATCTCCAGCACCATACCCCAGCCTGATCCCCAGCCCAGTAGGGGCACTTGTGGGAGGCAGGCAATCGATGTTTCTCTCTCCCTCTCTTTCTCCTCCACTTCCCTTCCACTCTAAAACTAATAGAAAAATATCCTCCGGTGAAGATTTAAAAAAAAAAAAATAACTAGTTGGGGAAGGGGTACCTGATTCTCTCACTTTAGCTTTTTTTTTTTAATTGTGTAATTCCATTTATGTGAAACTTCCAGAATAGGCAAATCCAGACAGAAAGTACACTAGAATGTGCCAGGGCCTGGGGGAGAGACTGCTAAGGGTAAGGGGTCTCCTTTTGGGGTGTTGGAAATATTCTGGAACTAGAGGTGATGGTTGCACAACATTGTCAATGTACTAAATCCTCTTGAATTGTACACTTGCAAATGGCCAAAATGGTGAACTTTTGTTATGTGAATTTTATCTAAAAATTAAATAATAAAACACAGTGGTCTGATTCTAACATGTACATTTCTTTATCACAAAAGAAAAAAGCAGTAAATGACAGCGTCAGGGGCAGGGGATGATCAGTCATGTCACGAGGGGGGGAAGCTGGACATCTGGAATCCTGGAGATACGGGGAGTGGGGAGACTGGAGGGAACTGGGGGAGCAAGCCTGCTCCACCTCTGCATTCACCGGATCGTGTACTTGTCCCACTTCTTCTCGGGGTCGTAGGGTTCCCAGCGGCTGGCGGGGAAGATGTGCTTGTTCTTCTCGTACCAGCTCCTCAGCACCACCTTGCCCGCATGTGACTCGTCCTTCTCCACAGTGGCGTCACTGAGCAGCCGCACATCATCATGAACGTCGAAATTAAAGAGTGGGCCACTCTTCCCTCGTGCCTTGGTGACGATGAAATCGTAGAAGCTGTGGTGGTGGGGTATGATTAGGTCCTCCTTGATGTACATGAGCTGCTCCACCCCCGCTGACCTGAGCTCGCTGAAGTCCTTGCGCAGGATCTCGAGCGCCTTCTGCAGGAACTGCTGCATGGTGTTGCCTTTTTTCATCTTGACTGTCCGGCGGTGCCCGGAGCCATCCCAGTAACTGAAGGTGATTTCAATCTCCTCACTCTTGATCTTCTCCTGCTTGGCTTCCCACTCTTGCCGCAGCTCTTCCCGGAGCCGATTCTCCTCCTCCTCGCGGTCGCGGTCAGGCAAAAAGCTTGTGTCCACATCGGGGTTCTTCCCCAATTTCCTCTTCTTGGTGGCGATCTCTTCCCTTTCCAGCTCCTCCTCATCCAGGGCCACCTCCTCCAGCTCCTCGCTCACCTCCTCCTCTTCACCCACCGTGAAGGACAGGCAGGAGATCTTCCGCTTGGCCTCCTTTTTGCGCTCCTTCTCGCGCAGCTTCTCCAGCTTCAGCTGCAGCTCCTTGGACTGCTCCTTCTTGGCCAGCTGCTTCTCCCGTTCCTTCACCAGCGCCTCCTGCTTGGCCTTCATGTCATTCAGGGTCACCAGCCCCACGGTGCTGGACTTGAGCTCCGCCTCCACGGCGTCGTAGTGAGCAGAGAACTTCTTGTCAATGTTGGATTTCATTATGTTCTCCTCGGCGATCCGCTGCTTCATCTGCTCCATTTGCTCGCGCTGCTTCTCCCGCTTCTTCATCAGGTGCATGGCGCGGCCCGCCTCGCTCGCGGCGCCCTTGTACTGAGCCATGGCGACAGCGGAGACGGAGGCGGCAGCGGAGACGGAGGCGACAGCGGAGACGGAGGCGGCAGAGGAGACGGAGGCGGCAGAGGCAGCGGAGGCGGTAGCGGCAACGGCGGCAGCGGGGCCGCAGCGACAGCAGAGACCACAGCCCGGTAGAGTAAATGGCTGCGGCGACCGCGGCGTACGTGCCGTCAGCTGACGTCGGCGCCGTGACGTCGACTACTAGGGGACACGCAGGCGCGAGCGCCCCGCCCCGCCCCGCCCCGCCCCTCTCACGTTAGCTTTTTAAAGGGAACCACTACGGAAGGGAAGTCCTGGAGCTCAGAAATGTCTGCCCTCCATCAGGTTCCATTTCCAAAGGAGGGAGACGTTTGCGAAAGAAAAGTTTACAGGACACACACAAAACGCTTTTTGTTAACTTGGAGTATCAAAGAGCACATTCAGCTTTACAGCAACAGAAAAGAAACATTAAACTAAGCTAGATTTTAAATCATTTGACATTTTGACAAGTTGAAATTACTTTTAAAGAATGTCATTTTAATATTATATATTATTTTTTATTGATTTCAGAGAGGAAAGGAGAGATTAAAAAAAAAAAAAAGGCCCGTTGCGTGGCTCAGTGGTTGAGCAATGACCTATGAACCAGGAGGTCAAGGTTTGATTCATGGTCAGGGCACATGCCTGGGTTGTGGGCTTTTTCCCCAGTGTGGGGGGTGCAGGAGGCAGCTGATTGATGATTCTCTCTCATCATTGATGTTTCTATCTCTCTCCCTCTCCCTTTCTGAAATCAATAATATATATATATTTTTTTAAATTCAAGCTTTGAAAGTACCATTTGTTACAAAAGATACTTGATCATCCATTGTCATTCACTCACTAACTGTATATTGAATGCTAAGTGATAAAGAATAGACATGGAAACTGATTTCTGCTCTCAAAGTATGTGTGCACTAGTTAAGAGAAAAGACTAATATTTATGGAGAATGAGAGAGCAAATGATTATATAGTCAATAGTGTGGTCTTGGATTGTAGGGTTCCAAAGATAAAACCTGCAGGACAGCATGTTAGAAGCTGGGATTTGGTAACAAACAAGAGACCAACCAAACAAGCAGAATTGTTCACAGTGTGGGGTACTGGGAAACTAGAGCTTTTCTTCATTTTACATTTCTTAAACCACAGAACTGCTCCCCTGAATAAACAAAGATAAAGTCATCTAAGAGCAGATTTTTTATATTCTGCAAGGCCATTTAAGAAATGGCTTCTTTTATAGAAATAGAATGTTTGCTGATTTCAGATAAATCAACCCCTGGAGAGAACAGACTTACAGTGTAAATACAACCAAAGCCTCCAAAGAAGAAGAAGAAAAAGAAAGAAAAGAAATGGCTTCTTTTAGAATACAAATATAAACACATACTTTTTGTCCTGGAGAGGGGAAAGTTTTGTTACTTGAGAAAAACTGAGCATCTCCTAGCGATTCCCTTGTATGCTGAGCTCTGCAGAGGGGCTGGACTAATTTGTATAGGAGTCCAGGGCCTTTTTGTGGGGGGGTGGGGAGGGGGGAATAAAACTCCTAAGGGTTAAAATTCAGAATATCTTTCTAGGTTAAGCTGAGTAGCCCCCTGCCCCAGACCAGGAGAATTTACCAAGAGGTGGGCATTAGGGTTATAAACCAGGGCTCAACACAGGGCCTCCAGTTCTGTGAGGAGGGCTGGTTTTAATATACCATGTGGCTTGGGCTAGAAACCTCCCTAGGTCCAACCACGCGAATAGGTCCTACTTTGGAGAATAGTAGCTGAGCGTGTGAATGTGAACTAAAAGCTGTAACCTTGGAGCCTAACTTTGGGACAGCACAGCGCTGTTCGGTGCCCACTGAACTTTTCTACGTAAGGGTTCCATTTGTCGTCAGTGACCAAAGCATGAGGGCTTTCCGGTTCTCCCTCTCCACCAGACGGTGGAAACTGCTGTGGACCCTTATTCTAAGAGGGTGGGAGGGGCTCAAAAGAAAGATTTTATTGTCATGACTCTTGGTTGCAAGCCACAGAAACTCAAACTAGCAAACGCAAGACAGGAATTCATTGGCTCATGAAACGGCAAAATCCAGTAGAGCTGACTCTAGCCACAGCTGGAGCCAAGACTCAAAGCATGTCATCAGGTCTTGTTCTCCCTGCCTATATGTCCTGCTCTGCCTTTCTCCACACTGCTATTGTTCTTAGCCTTTCCCTACACAGTCGCCAAGGTGCTACTTACAGCTCTAGGCTTACATCCCACACAGTTAGATCCTGCATAGGTTATTCATTCTGCAGAAATAAACAAAGACCACCAAATGAGAACAGAAGGTGTTTATTTAGTTTGCTACAGAAAGAGAATCGGTGACTTTCATTTTCATTTGGTAGAGACTCAAAGTCAGGCAGAGTAATAGGTAAGTTTATAGTGGAAAAATAAAGGTTCCAGGCATGCTTTGATGGAATGTTGTTGGCATGGGAAGCTGGAGGGGTAATCTATTAGAGACACAGTAAAATGGGTAAAGGAACTAACACTGGCATCAGGGAGACATTTTTTAAAAACAGTTATAGCCCTGGCTGGTTTGGCTCAGTGGATAGAGTGTCAGCCTGCAGACTGAAGGGTCCCAGGTTCGATTCTGGTCAAGGGCACATGCCTAGGTTGTGGCTTGATCCCCAATAGGGGACATGCAGGAGGCAGCCAATCAATGATTCTCTCTCATCATTGATGTTTCTATCTCTCTCTCCCTCTCCCTTCCTCTCTGAAATCAATAAAGATATATTTAAAAAAGAAAGAAAGAAAGAAAGAAAAACAGTTACAATTCAATTGCGAGATGATGAAGAATCGAATTGGGGTGGTAGCAATCAGGACCCCAGACTTCTTTCTGCTTGACCATTCTAGCTCTTGGCTTCCATCCTCAATGTCAGTTCATGGCTTCAATGGTGCCTAGATCTCTAGCCAGAGAAACCAAGTTGGGAAGGCAAGATGAAAATCGGGACAAAAAACAGGTTCCTTCTGGCTGAGTCAGCTCCTGTAAATCCGCCCTCTCACACAACACTGTTGCTTACATCTCACTGGCCTGAACTTAGTTACATGGTCATATCTATATGCAAAGAAGGTAGGGAAACAATCTTTTGTTCTAGACAGCAATATGCCCAGCTAAAATTCAAAGTTCTGTAATTAAGGAGGAAAAGGAGAATGGTTGTTGGGTAAGCAATTAGCAATCTCCACCACAAACATTTTTTAAATTTCCTCAGCAATGACAAACTTATTAAATGTCTATTATAGATTATGCAGGTAGGTCAGGCATTCTGTACTTGTCCCAGTGGAGCTGGCTGAGGAATGTATCAGTTAGAATGCCTTCAGCCTCAAGTCACAAAGAAAACCAACTCAGCTTAGCCGGTTTGGCTTGGTGGATAGAGCGTCAGCTTGTGGACTGAACGGTCCCAGGTTCAATTCTGGTCAAGGACATGTACCTTGGTTGTGGGCACATCCCAATAGGAGGTGTGCAGGAGGCAGCTGATTGATGTTTCTCTCTCATCAATGTTTCTAACTATCTCTCTCCCTTCCTCTCTGTAAAAAATCAATAAAATATATTTAAAAAAACTCAAAGTAACTTAAACAATGAGGAAATATGCTCTTATATAATAAAAAGTCCAGAAGTCAACTAGCTCCACAGTTAACTCAGCAACTCCATGATGTTGTCACTGACTCAGGTTTTCTTTATTTCTCTCCAATTTCTCATTCTCAGTGTGCTGGTTTTGTTCTCCAGAAGCTCCAATCATGATAAAAGATGGCTACAGAAGTTCTACCTTCACCTCCTAAAATTACAACAACTAGAAAAAAGATGAGGCATTCTTTTCAGAGCAAGGAACCAGCTCATGGGTTGGCTGGCAGATCTAAGATGGCTTCATCCATATATCTGGGATCTTGGCAGGGATCTGTGAAAGGGTAGGACTTCTCTCTGTCGTCATTCAGCAGTCTAGCCTGAGCTTTCTTTACAATGCAGCTGGGTTCCAAGAGGGCAAGTGCTAATCAAGCCTCTACTTGCCTCATGCTTGCTAATCCCCTATTGGCCAAAGCAAGTCATGCACTAAACCCAGAGTCATTGTGGGAGGGGATTACACAGGTGTTTGAGTACCAGGAGGCGTGGTTCCTTGGAGGTCATCAGTATAACCATCTTCTACAGTTATAGTATAACCGTCTTCTATGTTGAGTCCATTGGGGATAGGAAGAGTATATCGTCAAGAGATTACAGTATGGTCAGGGATATTTAAGACACAAAGTCTTGGGAAGTAAAATATTAACACAGGATTTAAATCCTATATAATAAAAGCATAGTATGCAAATTGTCCCCTCAACTGGGAGTTCGTCCAGGAGTTCAATCAGGGGGTGGGCCTGCCAAGGGAAGGAAGGGAGTACCTGGCTAGCAGCTGGCAGTTGCTAGGGACCCTACCAGTGCACGATTTTCGTGCACTGGGCCTCTAGTATTTAAATAACATTTTTAAGACAATGTTAAGTCTGAGGGCAGGCAAAGAAAGGGGTTTCAGCTGGTGAAGGCAAGTTGGATTTTTCCCAAGGGTTCTCACATGGTGTGAATGTTCTATGCCTCAGGGTCAGGTCTTCACCCTTGGTCTTCAGTATGTTTAGTCCCCAGTATTAATTTATAGAAAGATTGCCAAAACCGGTTTGGCTCAGTGGATAGAGCGTCGGCCTGTGGACTGAAAGGTCCCAGGTTCGATTCCGGTCAAGGGCATGTACCTGGGCTGCGGGCACATCCCCAGTAGGAGATGTGCAGGAGGCGGCGGATCGATGTTTCTCTCTCATCGATGTTTCTAACTCTCTCTATCTCTCTCCTTTCCTCTCTGTGGAAAATCAATAAAATATATTAAAAAAAAAAAAAAAAGAAAGATGCCTTAGTGCAGTCGTCAGCAAACTCATTAGTCAACAGAGCCAAATATCAACAGTACAACGATTGAAATTTCTTTTGAGAGCCAAATTTTTTAAACTTAAACTATATAGGTAGGTACATTGTTATTAACTTAATTAGGGTACTCCTAAGGCTTAGGAAGAGCCACACTCAAGGGGCCAAAGAGCATGTGGCTCGCAAGCCGCAGTTTGCCGACCACAGCCTTAGTGTGTCTAAGCACACAAGGAGAGTATACCTGAACACCAGTAACACGGAGGAATAAAATATAATGTCAAGCAGACCAGATGTAAAGATTGATCTAACAACCCATTGTCTCAGTGAGCAAGTTCATGTGAAGCTAAAGTTGCATTTATTCTCTTTCATTCATTCATATTTTAAATGTATTATGAAGTATTTAAGATAAAAAGATTTAAAATAATACAATCAATACCTGTGAAATGAAACATTACCAATACAATTGAAAACACTTAAATATCCTCTAGGATTGAATCTCTTTCTCACAGAATTATTCACTTTTCTAAAATAAAATAAAAGCTCATAGCACATGCCTGGAACATGGTGAGCATGAGCACTCAATAGCTGTCAGTCCTTAGGTATTTTTTAAGACTATTTTTTGGGTGGAAAGTACAGAGTTCCCATATATCCTTGCTTCCACACACACACAGCTTCCCCCACTATCAACATCCCATTGTTTCTATAAATGAAACCACATTGGCACATAATCACCCAAGTCCATAGTTTACATTAGGGTTCAGTCTTGGTGGTGTACATTCTATGTGTTCGGGAAATGTATAATGACACGTATCTACATTATGATACCATACAAAATAGTTTTCACTGCCCTAAAAATCCTCTGTGCTCTACCTCCCTTCTTCCCTTCAACCCCTGGCAGCCATTGATCTTTTTATTGTCTCCATAGTTTTGCCTTTTCCACAATGTCATATAGGTAGAATCATACAATAGGTAGCCTTTTCAGATTGGCTCCTTTCACTTAGCAATAATGCATTTAAGGTTCCTCCATATCTTTTCATGGGTTAATAGCTAAATTACTTTTAACTCTTAATAATATTTCACTGTCTAAATGTACCACAGGTTATCCACTCACTAACTAAAGGACATTTTGATTGCTTCCAAGTTTTGAAAATTATGAATAAAACTGCTATAACCATCCTTGTGCAGGCTTTTGTATGGATATGTTTTCAAATCTTTTGGTAAATACCAAAGAGCGTGATTGCTGGATGGTATGAGATGCTAAGATATTGTTAGGTTTTTCAAAAAAAGGATGAATTGAGAAAAGCATATTTTCATTTTTACCAACAGTCTTGACGGTACTAATGAAGTTCCCAGGTTCTCTGGAATGAAAACCTTTCTCTGTATTTAGGAAAATGTAATAAGCTTCAACCATCGTTGGCAGGAAAACTCAGAGATATATCAAGAATGAGAAATGCATACTATGGATTCACTTTATAATCCCTGCTTGTCTGCCAGAAGCTTGTCTGCCAAAGGAAGACTAAAGGTTTATTTTTTGGAGGGCAAAAAAATGACAGAAATATATGGTTACACACTGTGAAAGCTTTATGAAGACAAAGGAGTTATGAGATGCTGTAACAAAGGGACCTGATCTAGTAGCAAAATATGAATTATTTTTCCCCTGACACAATGTAGGGGGATTTCAATGGCTCTACCTTACTTTATAAATTACTTATTACATAGAGAACCTCAGATTTAATTACTTAGCATATACAATAGACAAACTAGTCCAGAAAACTCCCTCAGTGCCTATCCAGTCTAAATCCCAGGAGGAGCTTAATTGCTGGCCAACTCCTCCAAGACTCACCCTTGACTCTTCTTTCACAGCCCACCATTAGCAAGTCATTAGCTCCGTCTTCAATCAGACCACTTCTCCCTTACTGGTTGCTATCAACCTGCGCCAAGCCCCATCATCTCTTGCCTGGGAAACTGCACTAGCCTATTTAATCTGCCTGCTTGCTCACTCTCAATTTATTCCCCACACGGCAGCCATAGGGTCCTTTCCTCACCCTGCTTAACCCCTTCTAGAGATTTCCAATTTAATGAAAGGAATAAACAAAGTCCTTAACAGTGGCCAGCAAGCCCTTCTCCATCTGGTCCTCTTCTGTCCTTCCTCCTCGCTCGGCTCCAGCCCCATTCTGTCTCAGGGCCTTTGCACTTGCTCTTCCCCCTATGTCACCTGATCCGGGAAGTCGGCCCAGGATCCCAGTTCAACCCTGTGTTACAGCACTCTCCTCCCCCACGGGCACGCATACACTGTTCCCTGCTTTTTCTTTTTACTTAGCAACCCTGACATAAACATGTGCCCATGTCCCCCACTGTAACTCCACGGGTGCAGTACCTGGTTCGCTCATTGCTGCGCCGGTTCCCTAGCACAGCGCTTGGCCTTGAGGCATTCATTTGCCCAGTGAATCTGATTACTCATCTGCGCCTATGGCCCAAGGCACATCTGAATGGCCAGTCAGGAAGCTCCTTTCCTTACGCTATTCTTGTAATAATTCTAGAAACACTTGGAGTAGGAGACAGCAGCCCACAACACGGGTCTCAAGTCTCCCCACGCACACCCGACTATAAACTATAGAAAGAAGAGCTGGACAACCTGTGACTGTATCTGACCAGTGAGGCCTTAAAGTGCCGTTTGAGGGAAAAGGGAGCTTAGAAGGGAGAACTCGGCGCAGGCTGGTTAAAACATGACATCACCTGGCTGGCGTGGCTCAGTGATCCAGCAACGACCTATGAACTCGGAGGTCAGGGTTCAACTCCCAGTCAGGGCACTCGCCCGGGTTATGAGCTCAGTCCCCAGTGGAGGGCGTGGGGGAGGCAGCTGATGGGTGAATCTCTCATCATTGATGCTTCTCTCTCTCTCCCTTCCTCTCTGAAACCAATAAAAACATATTTTTTAAAAATAAAATAAAAACATGACTTAGCCCTTCACCTTTTCTGTCTGAAGACCCCTTTTAAACCCTTCCTCTTGGGAGAGCGCTAAGGGCCCTGGGACCGGGCCCGCGCAGCGCCGAGCACCGGCTTACCGGGCTTACCAGGCGGGCGGGAGGGGGCCTCCGGAGGCCGGCGCCATTTGAGGGGGTCGGGGGACCCCAGCGGCTGCCTTGGGGGGCTCCCCCACCTTGGCTCTTTGTGAGTCCGCGGTGCTCAGCCCGGGCCGTGTACACGTTCTGTTGAGAACAGGCTCCTTAGCGTGACCCAGCCGGACTCCGCCGCCCGCCCGCCCACCCGCCTCCGGACAGAACCGCGCGCCCGTCATGGCTGCCGGCGACAGCGCGGCGAAAGGCAGCGAAAAGGAAATGGCGCCGGGGCAGGCGGCCAGTGTCCGCAGGCCCAGGGCTGCGGGGCCAGAGAGCCAGCCAGGGACCCTTCAGCCCATCCAGGGCTTCTGGCACTTGCAGACCCTGAACCTTGGCGACTGCAACATGGAGGGCTGTTATTCTCTTTGCAAAAGCATTTGCAAAAGCGAGCCCGGCCAAAGCCCCGCGGTGGAACTCGGCAAAACCCTCTATTCTTCAAAGAGAATGCGTTACGCAGACTGCGCACCTCCGCAACAGTGGGCCGGCTCCCGACGCAAAGAATGTTACGTCGCGCCTGAGGCTCTCCCCACCTTCCCGCCCCACGTTCCAGTTCGGGTGGCGCGAGAACGCTACGCCCGCTCCGTATTTTGTTTTCCTTCTACCGACCGTAAAGCGCGCCCCTCTTCGCAGGTGGCGTAAAATGCTTCCAAGAATACCCGCAGTACGGCGCGCAGCCCGGGGGCCATTCCGACACGCTATTTACGTAGCGCCTCGGACGCACGTCGCGTTAAGCTGGAGCGGCCTCAGCGCCGGCCGCCATTTTGTGCAGTCGCCGGGAAGGAAGGAGACGCCTAAACCGCGGCCCTGCCGGGTTTGAGCGTAGCCAAACCTGCCCACTGACTTTATCACCCCGATTCTCTGTGGTTTGCTACCGTCTCCGACGAGAGAGGCGGCGACGGTGGCGTCTGCGACGGGAGATAGCGCGTCGGAGCGAGAGAGCGTCGCGCCTGCCGCCGCCCCAACAGCGGAGGCGCCGCCGCCATCGGTCGTCACCAGACCGGAGCCGCAGGCCCTCCCGAGCGCGGCCATCCGTGCCCCGCTCCCAGACCTCTACCCATTTGGGACCATGCGCGGAGGCGGCTTTGGGGACCGGGACCGGGATCGTGACCGTGGAGGGTAAGGGGGGAGGCGAGGAGGAAAGGCCTGTGGAGCGGGGGGTGGAGTGGGTGCTTCCTGTCGGGCCCCCCGGCCCTGGAGCGACGCTCCCGACTCCAGGAAGCCAGCGAGGCACTCGGGGCAGAAGAGCGACCTAGTGCCCGGCCTGTGAGAGGGCCTGGGCCTCGGGGTCACTGATGACCCGGCGAAGGGGTGGCGGCCGTCGGGGCGGAGGGGCGGCCTGGGCCTCGCCGGGCTTCCCCGCTTGGAGCCTGTCCTCCTGGGCAGGTCACTTGAGCCCTCGGGGCCTCCTCCGTCTGCAGCGCGGATGTTGTGGGGAGTAGAGCGGGGTTGCCCGGTTTCGCCGGGAAATCAGCGCGGAAGGGCTCCTCTCGGGCGGTTTGTCGCCGGAGACGCTGTCAGCGGAACGGGAAGCCTGGCCTGAGCCCAGAGGCCGTCTTCTCGCTTTAAAGTCGCCATTAGTCGTTCTTAGGGAATTGCAAGGACGCACACCGGGATAGAAAGCCATGCATTGCCATCTCAGGGGCGTGTTTGCGCAGGGAGGGGTTTTCTGTTTGGTTTTTGTAGGGTTTTTGTTTTGTTTTGTTTTGTTTTTTTCCCTCTTCCCTGTTTCGGGCTTTATTTTCTGTAATTGGGCCGGAGCCTTCATGACTCGGCCTGGCCGGAAAGTTTTCGCTGTAACGCCACGACCACAGGGTGGGAAGTTAGCAGGTTTGAAACTGAAGTCCTCCGGGGCACTGAAATGCAAATCTTAACGTCGACGAAACGGAAAAGTTGCGTAAGGGAGAGGTCCATGCTGCTTTGTGCCGGTTCTTTTTTTGTCATAAAAGTCGCCTTCACTGTGCATTGTCCTCTGGGGTTGAGAGTCCTGCTCGTAATTGCCTCTCGGCAGTAGGTGTTCGGGCCATTGTTGTCTCCGGACTTGTCCTTTGGGTTCAGATATACGAGCATCAGGTCTACCAGTCACAAGCACCTCAGGGATCACTTAATTTACAAAATAAAAAAAGGGTTATTTTGATTGATGCCTTGTTCGGAAGGAAAATATTTTACCTTAGAAGTTGGGAGGACTAGAAGTGAGCCGTTTGTTAAGTGTTTCCTAGTATAACTAAGTTTAGAAGCGAATTTCCTAAGTTTACAACCTTAGGAAAAAGAAGATTACCCGCTAAAGTTTAGTGGTCCGGTAATTCCTCTCAAGCTTTCTACCCTAAGCTCTAAGGCCCAGGAATCCTTGCACATCTGTCCAGCATTCATGTACAGACAAGTTTGTACCAGCATCATTCGTGACAATATTGGAAATAAACGACTGGATAAGTTGTGGGTACTCACACAGTAGAATATAAAAGAGAAAAGCAAGATGTGGTAGGATAAAGCATAGAAGGATACCTACAAACATGGCAAGACTATAAAAAGCAAGGGAATGTTTAACACTCGAGGTCGTTATGATGGGTGTTGTAAATTTGAAATAGGCATACAGAGGCTACCAACGTACAGGTAAATGTCCTATTGCCTGTTTGACTTAATATTTCATTGCATCATATATATGCTTTAGTAATAAAATTTGAAAAGTGAATTACTGATCCATATTTAGTTTATCCCATATTGACTCTTTAGTATCAGATGGCATTTTTTAAACGCTTTAAAAATTATTCATTTCAAGCAAAGTGACACTCAAAATATGTGCCCTAACTACATTTACTATGAAAAAAATGTTTAAGCGAAAGCAAAGTTTATTGAGAGACAGACTCCCTCTAGCAGGGAGGGGACCCAAGTGGGTTGCCCACTATGAATTTTTTTTTCATGTTTTGAATTGCTATTGTTTTGTCCTTAACTGTGTTACAGTGCTGAAATGGGTTATTATTTTCAAAGGGGAATGAGTGAGGTCAGTGTACTTGTACAGTCCAAAGTGTGCATTGTTCATTTTAACTAGCATGGTGTTGCATGTTGGTATGTAGAGCCAGATTAAACTGTTAATGCTCAATAAAGCATTTAATGAGCAGCACAGTATGCCAGGGTAATTAGTACACATGCATCTTTAAAGGTTGGTATGAATTTGCTATAAAATTCTGCAAAGGTAATGGCTCTCTTGAATATATATTGAAATCGGCATTAATTATAAAGGTAGAAGACAGCATATTTATAAAGAACCCCATGTTTCAAATTGTATCATTAGTGTAGGATGGTATGTCTTGGATAATTAGCCAAGGTATTAAGGAGAAAGGAAAAAACATTTTTATTTAATAAAATAAGGGGTTCTTTTTTATAAACCTTAACAGGAACCTTACTGTTGAAAAGTTGTTCTAATTCCTTATTTAAGGTCTTGGTCACATTGGAATGCAGCAGCATTGAAGTGGCACCTTCTAGGAACCACATAAATTTACATAAACTATACTGACAATCTCTAAAAGTTTATTTTTACTTTCTTTACAAGACTGTTTAGAGACTTGGCTTTTCTGTTACTAAAATTGTGTTGGTTCATTTACAAATGTGTGTGGGGGGCTGGTCCAGATGGTTTTTGGACCTGCGAGCATATTGAAAATGTCACAGATGTTTTACCTTTGATACATGTATCTATATGCTTTATGCTTTTCCTGTTTTGGTTCCTGGTTTCTCTTGCCAGCTGAGCAGTAGTATAAATGCAATTGACTGAGTTCTGCCTATTGAATGTAGGTATTCAGTGGCTCCAAGAAAATTTCCTGCCAACAATCTTTATATCTATTTGTATTTAGAGACATGTCTAGCTAGGTCTTTAAGCCAGAGTTTCAAGAATTTCTTGAAATCCAGGAAATTAAGACCTTTTAAAATAGTCAGTACAACCTGTCACAGTCTTACCCTTAACTTAAGCTTAAACTAATGTTTTCCCTTACCTACTTGTCTGAATATTAATTACAAAAGAGTAGAGACTTGTTTTATTCACTTTAATATCTTGACCTCTTCAAACAGTACCTGTGATATAGGGATACCCAGGAAGTATTGATTGAATGCTAACTTGTGCTAAGTGCTTACTGTACAAGATACTGTTTTAAGCACTTCATACCTGCTCATTTAGTCTTTACAGCAACTTTTGAAATAAGTGGTATTTCTACTTTGCATAAGAAACCGAGGGACAGAGAAGTTAAATAATTTGCTCAAAATCACCTTGTAATTGGCAGAATTAAAATTCAGACTCTTTTGAATTTCAGAATCTGGTTGAAATCCTCGTGATATATTAATAATTTTTAATTTTTCACCTATTATAACTGTACCCTATCTTTTGCATCTTTTATGACACCTAAGGTATATTTCTTTTAAAATACTAACAGCTAAAATTTTTGCTATTTCCAGATTTGGAGCAAGAGGTGGTGGTGGCCTTCCCCCAAAGAAATTTGGTAATCCTGGGGAGCGTTTACGTAAAAAGAAGTGGGATTTGAGTGAGCTCCCCAAGTTTGAGAAGAACTTTTATGTGGAACATCCAGAAGTGGCAAGGCTGACTCCAGTGAGTTCTGGAGGGGGTGGGGTATATTTATTTATTTACCTTTTTTATACACAATAATGAACTAAGTAGACATAGTAACCAGAATTTATACATACATTGCTATTGCTGTTATATGTTTTATTTTAGTGCAGTGGTACTTCCTTAGGTTCTTATTAAAACTGCTAGTACTCATAAGAGAAACTAGTTTAAATATGTACTTTTGTGTTGATTGCTTGGTTCTCATTTGTTGGTTATGCTTTCAACCAGTTTGTCATACATGGCTTTATCTGTATATGAGGTCATGTTTTTTCATCTATAAAGTAAGTTATATAAATTTAAAATATTAGCATTGCGTACTCCTGGTTTTTAAGCTCATTACTAGGGGCTCAGTGCACGGATTCATGCACCGGTGGGGTCCCTCGGCCTGGCCTGCGGGGATCGGGCCGAAACTGGCTTTTCAGCATCCCCTGAAGGGTCCCAGATTGCGAGAGGGTTCAGGCGAGGCCAGGCTGAGGGACCCCACTGGTGCACAATCAAGGCTGGGGAGGGACCGTGGGAGGGCTCCAGGGTATGTCTGGCCTGTGTCGCCCAGTCCCGATAGGCTGGACCCCAGCAGCAAGATAACCTACCAGTTGGAGCGCCTGCTCCCTGGTGGTCAGCGACGGGTCGGACCCTTAGCATATTAGGCTTTTATTATATAGGATAGGATTACATTTTCTCCCTCTTCCTAGTTCTGATTTTGGGCAAGCTACTTAACATTTCTGAGTATCTGTTTTCTCGTGTGGAAAATGGAACTCTTATCACCTGCTTTATTGACTCACAAAGTTGGGTGACTCCTCAATCGTTTTTCATTTTGATTTCAAATTGGATGATAATTGTTCAACTACATTGCTATATAAGGTTTTTTTATGTTTAAAATAACTTGTTTATTAATTTGTCTTTCTTCATGGTCTTCCATAGTATGAGGTTGATGAACTACGCCGTAAGAAGGAGATTACAGTGAGAGGGGGAGATGTTTGTCCTAAACCTGTTTTTGCCTTCCATCATGCTAACTTCCCACGTAAGTATTCTCACCAGGATCTTCATTGTTAATTTGGGTTGAATGGTAAACATGGGTAATAGATTGTTTAAAGGTTTTGAACCATACTCGTCACTTTGTTGAAAACCCAAGTAGAATACTTTTCACCAAAGTAATTATGGCCTGGCGGTATGGCTAAGTGGTTGAGCGTCAACCTATGAACTAGTGTAGGGCGTGCAGAAGGCAGCTGATCAATGATTCTCATCATTAATGCTTCTATCTCCCTCTTCCTTCTCTGAAATCAATTAAAAAATGTTTTTAAAGTAATTGTAAATTTTTTTTATTTTTTAAAACCTCAAGGCCAGAATTAAATAATATATTATTACATAGGAGGGATTTTTTTTAATGCTCATCTATTTTCTGATTTAGAACTAGAGTTTCCTCTTCCCCCAGGGCAGTGATTTTCAGCCTTGGCACACATACACTAATTATTAAAATTCTGTGGCCACCAAAAATACAAACATTTTCTGCCAAGCACACTGGCTGGCTGTTGTCATTTTTCTATTTGACTATCTAAGGAAAAGAGGTCCCTCTCCCTGACTGGATAGTCAGGTATTGCAGGTTTTAAAAATGCTTGCGGAACACTGGTTGAAAATCGCTGCCCTAGGGGTTTTGCCTCTACCTGTTAAAAAACCAGCAGAATGGAATTGCTTTCCAGCTGGATATAATTTGAATTTGGGGAACAATAAGTGATTACCATGTGCCAGTGCCTTGTTAAGATACTTGAGGGCAGTGGTTTTCAAGTTTTTGAAGGGAAAGGTAAATGGCTCTGGCAGCAGCTCTCTGAAAGGTAGTAGTTAGAAAATCAGGGATTTAGTAACTAAAGAAAAAAACACCTCTCATGGTGAGAGGTAAAGCTGGGTAAATTTGCCAAAAACAGTGCTTTAGAATTTTTTTGGCCTTAGCTGGTTTGGCTCAGTGGATAGAGCGTCAGCCTGAGGCCTGAAGGGTCCCGGGTGCGATTCTAGTCAAGGGCACATGCCCGGGTTGCTGGCTCGATCCCCCAGTAGAGGGTGTGCAGGAGGCAGTCAGTCAGTGATTCCCTCTCATCATTGATGTTTCTCTCTCTCCCCCTTTCCCTTACTCTCTGAAATCAATAAAAGTATTTTTAAAAAAGAATTCTTTTGGCTGTGTGTTTAGTTTTACTAAAAGCATTAATATTTATCCTCTTACAGAATATGTAATGGATGTATTGATGGATCAGCATTTCACAGAACCAACTCCGATTCAGTGCCAGGGATTTCCATTGGCTCTTAGTGGCCGGGATATGGTGGGCATTGCTCAGACTGGCTCTGGGAAGACATTAGCGGTACGTACCGGCATGGGAAGATTTTCAACATTGTGGTGACTTATTTTGCTATTCTAAATATATATATTTCTCAGTTCTTTATAAAATTTTAATTTATATTGTGTAGGTAGTAATATTTTAGCTTTATTAGCTATATGAGATAGATGGAAGCATTTTGTTGTTTAAATTTGCATTGCACATATTGGTCAACAGTTGTACTGTTTTCATTTTCCTAGTTGGATGTTGTAAATTACTGTGATAATTTAGAACTGTTAAGATAATGGCTCAGTTTTCTTACAAGACTTATTCTTTTTCTCCCTCAGTATTTGCTGCCTGCAATTGTTCATATTAACCATCAGCCATACTTGGAAAGGGGAGATGGTCCAATCGTAAGTGTGTTTCATTTTGCTTATAATTCTAAGAATAACTAATTTAAAGATTATTGTGTTTAGGCACTGTGCTTTGCATACTTTTTCAGATTTCATTCTCATCTCTACCCTCCATATCTGGAAGTGATATTATCCCCATCTTACTGATAAATTTTAGAGAGTGCAATTAAATGACCTGTCTAAGGTCATACAGCTATAAATAATTGAGCTTAAATTTGAATCAATATTACTCCTAAGCACTGTGCATACTACCTTCATATATAGGCATTAGTTCACGTGCAGTTCTTAATTGCTCAGTGATTCTCTGGGGGATACAAAAGAGGAGAGAAATGAGGTCCCTGCTCTGGATTTAAGTCAGGTTTGGGATGTATATTCTTTGTGGCTAAGTAACAGGTTTGTTAATGTTTATATGGCAGCATGATTTTCTTTTTTTGATTCTTTTCACTCCGGCTGTTTCCTATAAGTTCAAGTAGTGGTCTTTAAACATTTTGAATACATTTGTATCTGTTGTTTTTGTTTTGTTTTTTAAAATGTTTTTATCGATTTTGAGAGAGAGAAAGGGAAAGGGAGAGAACCATAGATGGGCTGCCTCCTGTACCACCCCTACTGGGAATTGAGGCCAAAACCCAGGCATGTGTCTGGACTGGGACCTTTTGGTGACGCCCAACCAACTGATCCACAGTGTCCAGGGCTGTGCTTTTTTTTTTTAATTGAGCTCGTGCTTGCTATATTAATATGTACGTTATTGCAGTATGTCTTAATATCCACAAAAAGAAATAACATTACTTTGCATTATGTAATATGTCATGTATTCCATGTGGCTGCGTTAGCTTTATTATCATTAGCTAGTATCTGATGGATCAGTAAAGAGGAAGATTCATTGTTAACAGTGTATATACCTGTTTCAGAGTGTCTTAATTTTGTATCATTTTGGCCAACTACTTATCAGATTGTGTATAAGTCATTGTTTTTGCCTAAGGTGCCTGGCTGAGAGCTTAAACTAGAAGTCAGAAAAGGGTCAGCTCTATTTTCTTACAGTCCTAACCCGAGGATATTTTTCCCATTGCTATTTTATAGAGTTGGACGTGGCAGGGGGTGGGATGGGAGAAACACATTGATGTGGAGAGACACGTTGATTGGTTGCCTCCCACAGGTGCCCTGATCGGGCTGGGGATCAAACCCACGACCCTTTACCCTTTGGTGAGCAGGCTGATGCTCTCATCACTGAGCCGTGCCGGCCAGGGTTCATTTATTTTTCGCTAATACTTAATCAAAGGTATCTTTTTAAAGCCATTTGTTCATTTTGTGGAAGTTCTTTAGTTAAAGCTAGGTAATATAATCTGTAAATCCACTTAAATAGCATATATGAACAGTAATGAACCATATGTCAAAAGTAAACTATCATCCTCCCACCCCATTACATATTTTGAAGTACCAAATTAAACAGTAGAAAAAGAATTAGATAGATAGCCTTTTGTACTTTTTTAAAAAAAACTTGGGATATGTGTTTCAAGTATTTTGTTTGTTTGTTTCAGTGTCTAGTTCTGGCTCCTACAAGAGAGCTTGCCCAGCAGGTACAGCAGGTGGCTGATGACTATGGCAAATGTTCAAAATTGAAGAGTACTTGCATTTATGGAGGTGCTCCTAAAGGTCCCCAGATTCGAGACTTGGAACGAGGTAATTTTTTAAAATTAGCATATACGAATTATTAATTTCTCATTTTGTCAATTTCTATGAATGAAATTTAAGACTAAAATAGAGGGTTCTTGTGAAAAAATTTCAGTAGCTTAAAATTTTTAGGTATGGTTAAAATACTACTTTGGGAAAGTTCAACATGGCTAGAGACTTACGTATACTTTGTGAAGATTTGATGATTATGCCTAAATTCATACAACGTGCTTTTCCAGGTAGTAAGTTAAAATGTAGCTAGCTAGTTCTCTGCAGCATGGAGTACCACCACCAGAGACGGTGCTTATTAGTTTGCCAAGGCTTGGACAGTGTGTTAAGATTCTTAATTGCCCTGGCCAGGTGGCTCCGCTGGTTGGAGCATTGTCCCGTACTCCAAAAGGTTGCAGGTTCGATCCCCAGTCGGGGCGCAAATTGGAGGCAACCGATCGCTGTTTCTCACATTGATGTTTTCCTCTCTTCCCTACCCCCTCTCTCTAAAAATCAATTTAAAAAACATACATAAATATACCCTTGGGTGAGGCTTTAAAGAAAAAAAAAGATTCTTAGTTGCTAGATCTTCGGTTTTGTTTTACAGGTGTTGAGATCTGTATAGCTACTCCTGGGCGCCTGATAGATTTCCTGGAGTCAGGAAAGACAAATCTTCGCCGATGTACTTACCTTGTACTGGATGAGGCTGACAGAATGCTTGATATGGGTTTTGAACCCCAGATCCGTAAAATTGTTGACCAAATCAGGGTGTGTAAAGCTGGTAATACGCTCTATTTATACCCTTTGCCTGTCGCAGTTCCTTAGCCTAAGAAAGCCTTTCCTTTCTTTACAGCCTGATAGGCAGACATTGATGTGGAGTGCGACCTGGCCAAAGGAAGTGCGACAGCTTGCGGAGGACTTCCTTCGCGATTACACCCAGATCAACGTGGGCAACCTGGAGCTGAGTGCCAACCACAACATCCTCCAGATCGTGGATGTCTGCATGGAAAGTGAAAAAGACCACAAGTATGAGTGATTGCACTGTTTCCATATTCTGATCAACCTTTCCTTAATAATCCTCCAAAATTAAAGCATTGGAGAAACTTTTTTTTTTTGAGGTCTGAAAACACTTAAAACATTGCTAACTTTCCAACAATCTATCCTTCATGTCATTTGTTGTGGTTAAAGGCAAAGGATTCTGGATCCTTGGATTTAAATCCCAGCTCTGATAATTATCAGCTGTATAGAAAGCAATGTGAAGAGAAAGTGCTGTAGGGGTTGATGTTGCAGACATAGCTTCTGCGTAATGTGTAGGGAGGTCTCTGAATGGCTGCACTGTTGCTGGTCTTGTTTTCAGGTTGATCCAACTCATGGAGGAAATAATGGCTGAAAAGGAAAATAAGACAATAATATTTGTAGAGACAAAGAGACGCTGTGATGACCTCACTCGAAGGATGCGCAGAGATGGGTGAGTGCAGCACCGAAGTAATTGATTAGTTTTGGGTTTTATAGTTCAGTAGGAATTTCTCGATGGGTATTGTGAATGTTGTATAATAGTTTAATAATGCCTTTGCTCTTTAAATGGACATAGTCGTCTTCTTATGTAGTCTATAATAAACCTTCATAATTCCATATGGTTGCACTTTTTTTTAAAGCTTAGTTTTCCTCCGTTTTAAAAAAAGATTTCTAAAATATTGGTCACTTTTCTTCTGACAGTTGGCCAGCTATGTGTATCCATGGAGACAAGAGTCAACCAGAAAGAGATTGGGTACTTAATGGTGAGTTCAAAACAGCATCGTTCATACTCTATTTCAGGGACTGACACACTTTCTGTAAAAGGACCAGACAGTAAATATTTTAGGCTTTGCAGGCTGTGTGACGGTTTGTGTCACGCCTGCTAGTTCTGCTCTGGTAGGACAACAATGGTCAGACACAATATGTAAGAAACAGCCTTGCTGTGTTCCAACAAGTCTTTATTTGCAAAAATAGGCATTGTGCCCTTTGACCTGCAGGCTGGAGTTTGCCTGGCATTGCTCTAGTTGGTGGAATTTGGGGGCATTTTTGGCATATCTTTGCTGTCCTTTAAGGTCAGTAATGCTGGCTCTTCACACTTTTGTACAACCTATGCCATCCTTCCTTTATGTAATAAGTTCTTGTCTTTATAGATATGCTCACCAGCCCAGAAGCTTTCCAAACCTCGTATTTTTTTGAGATTTGTATAGAGGCTTTATTGTGTAGTCATGATTGATCATTAACTCAATCTCCAGCCCCTTTTCCCTTCTCCAAGCATGAGGGGGTGGGCCTGAAAGCTCCAAGTTCTAATGGTGTGTGTGTGTCCCTTACTAGAGGTAACTTAGTCTATTACTGTTCTGGCTCCTCTGCTAAAAAATAAAGATTTTCAAAAGAATTACAATTTCCCTTCAATGTAAAAGACCTAGGCATGGTCTGACACCATCACTTGAAATTGTCTTGAGTGTGCAGCTTGGTTTTCACGGTATCATTTTTGTTTTGCAGAGTTCCGTTCTGGGAAGGCTCCCATCCTCATCGCCACAGATGTAGCCTCCCGTGGGCTAGGTTTGTATAGATGGGTGTCTCTATCAATGGTATATGTATCTTTTGGTTTAAAGATTTGTCATTTTAAATTAGAGTTGTATATACGTGTATTTAGATAAATATTTAAAGGAAAGGAATACACAAGCCTAATTTTTTATTTTATTTTACCCCCACAGTTTTTTTTAACCTTGGCATTTTTGTTTTTGGTTTTTATTTTCCAAATCTCTTCCTGCTCCTGACAAACAGGCTTTGGTCTGCAGCAAGGCCTAGGCATGACTGTTCATACAGTTAGAGGGAGCGGAGACGTTCAGTTAAACAGCTCAGCTTCTGTTGTCTGGGTGGAAGGAGCCCGATGGCACCTAGCCGATAGAAACTAGTTTTCCATTTCCTCTTTTCCTTATACCAGTCTGTGCTGTATAGAGAGAGAGGTCCAATTCCACGAATGCTAACACAGTATATTCTTGGGATTTAATAAGTCTGTAAACATGATATCATTCTGCAATTAAATTTCCATTGCCCAACTTTATTTACTGAAGTAAAATTATTATGGGAACTATTTTATTCATCCCCTCCTACCGATACTTATATCATTGACATGCCGTCTTCCAATTTAAAAACTTAATTTGAAGCTTTTTTCCCTGGAGTTTGTGACTTGTTATGATTTAAGATAAACAGAGATATTTTGTATTTTAGCCTATTCTTAGCTTAAACAGGGGTAACTCAAAACTTTTACATTAAAAAAGGTATTATTTCTGTCACAAAGATAACTTTTAAATTATTGGTTGGTACCTAATTTCTTGCCCAGTAAGGTGAGAAGTACCATATTCCCTCATAATATTTAGCAAAGGGAGCAGCTGTTCAGTTAACTGGAATACAAAAGTAATGAAGACTATACATTGCACCATCATTCCCTCCTTCAGAGGTGGTGACCTGCAGCCATGACTGAAACTGCCTCTGCCCTCTGAGGTCATGTCTGGATCTGTGCGCTTAGAACTGGGCCTGTTGGGAGAAGAGGCTGAGGCCTGAAAGCAGTTCCAGGAAAGCTTTCAGGGATGGTGGTTTTTAAACAGGCTTGCTATGTGCTGGTAGCTTCTTTGTGCATCTTGCCTAGACATTTAAAAATACTGGTTCCCTGTCCCCCTGCATTTCTAAACCAAATCAATTGGCTGCCATTAGAATAACTTAAGACTCTTCATCCCACCCCGACTCATCCAAGTGCGGGGAGAGGGAAGATACCCGAGTCTGTTTCTTGTTACTCAACATCAGTGCTTGTTTTGGGCCCCTTTGTTTGCTGCCTTGTAAAAATCAAAAGGAGGGAAAACCCACCAAAATGGCAGAATGCTGACCAAGGTCCTACAAGATCCTGGAAAGTGAAGGCTTCTACCTCATAGACAGGGGTGCAATTTTCAGCTGAGTCACCAGGCCTTTTTTCACTTCCTGTCCAGCGATGGCCTCTTAAATGTTCCCTTCAGGTAAGTTCTTTGATTCCCATAATGTTATAATATCCTCAGGAAATCACTATTTATTACTCCCTTCCCACTTAGATATTTTTGATTTTTCCATTTTTTGTTTAAACTACATGCTGTTAAGCTAAAAGTATTGAATTTATTTTGTTTTGTTTTTTAACAGAAGCTTTGATATCAGCTGCAGATCACTCAGTACATGGCTGAGGCAAATCTACATTGGCCCGAAGCAGCTCTAGATGAGCCTATTGGCTAGTCTGTCCCACCCATTAGTGATTGGAGATTCAGGCCATGTTATAGGGCTTGTCAAACAAAAAGCTGTTACCCTAGGCAGTTGGCCAAACATTAACTTTTCAATTTCTCACCCTGCTACAGCATCTTCTCTAAAGGCAGCAAGATAATATTGTGGCCGTGCACAAATAACATGAGGGCAGGCTTGACTGGAGAAAATCAAATTCTGCGCTTGCTCTTACGTGTCCTCAGCCAGCTCTGTGCACGTACAGGACACCTTTCTAGTATGAAGAACTTGCACCATGTCTGCCCCCTATTGAACCCCTCCAGAAATACTCCCAAGTATTAGTATCTGAACCGTTGACTTCAGTCCCCAGTGCTTTCTGCTAGGAAAGCACACGTCTGGACATCCCGTGCAGTAGCTCAGCTTGCTCTGCTGCCCATGGTCAGACACAATGGGATTGACTAAGGAGCATTATCCTTTCTCTGAAGATGTGATCATGGAGCTAATTTCCCATCCCCACCTCACATCCGTCCTGGCCCTGTAAATTTTTGTTTTTCCTTTATTGCATCAACGACCCTAGCCGGAGACTCACGCTGCCCCCTGTGATGACTGCCTTCTCGTCTTTCTGGTGTGATTTCAGGACTTTAGGGGTCAGTAAAGACTGAGGAGCCTTTATTGTAATAAGAAACAGACATAATGCCCCTTTCTTCGCAGGCCCTTTAACAATAGCTGATTTTTTTTTTTTTTTTTTTAATCTTTACCCCTTCCCCCTGAAATTAATCCAGTCTGGGCAATAGATGCAGTCTGACCCTTTGGATGTAACTTACATTTTTTTATTAATTACTTTTTTCTACAATCACCCCAATTATCCTTGGGGGAGGCGTTGGAGGACCTGAAATTTTTACCCGAACCCAGGTTCTCCGGCGCTTGGCAACCAAATGGGGCTACAGAGAAGCATCTAAGCCAGTTCACAGAGCGAGCGTGTGTGGGGACTTCTCACTGCCACGGACCCTTGATGCATGCTCCCCGCGCTCCAGTGGTCCCGTGTCAGAAGGCGGAGTTTTCGAAAGGAGGCCGCCAAAAATAAAAGGCAAAGAGACGGGATCGGCTGCAGCGGTTTCCCAAAGGAGGAGGGAGTGTGCATCGGTCTGGTAACAAACAGAGAATGTTTTTTAATTATTTATATCACAAAAATCTGTGTTTTATCTAGGATATTTTCTGAATATTCTTTGTAAAATGCAGATTTTTTTCCACAAAACATTAGGATTCTTTGTTATATTCTTAAATTTGTTTTTGTTTAAGTAGGTTAAAAAAAAAAAGGTACATTTAGCTGAAAGCATTACACTAACATTTACATACTTTAAGCATTAGGAGGTTATTCAATTCAATTCCCAGCAGTGGACAGAACATTAAACTTGTGTCTCAAGGTTTCATGGTTTTTCCCACACTCTGGCTATTTAATTTCCCAGGTTACATAGACAATCTTTGATCAATTGAAGCAAGTATTGAGTTAAAATAACCTTGAGTTGAGCAAAAATACCTTCATTTGGCAGAGCTGGGCTTGGTAGTACAGTGAAATTTTAGTGTAATGTGCTCTTGTAATTGAAAGGGAAAGATAATTTGGATGTTTCTGCAAAGGAAACTAGATGTATACTTGGGCTCTGGTTGGTTTTTTAAAATATAAGAGCAAAAGATTTTAAAATATTTTTATTAAGTCTCCTTAAAATGTAATAAAGTATATGGAGGTTTTTTTGTTTTGTTTTTTTTGTTTGTTTTGTTTTTTCATTGTGCTCTGTGACTGGTTTAAAGGTAAGTTTGTTATATTTCTTGTAGATTTTGACAGGCTTCTCCCAACAGAGTAGAAGTGATTTGGCCTTTTAACTTAATGGTGGTACCACTTTCTTCATTCCAGTTTTGAAAAATATAGAGCTGGAATTTGGTGTGACTTCTGTCGGTATATTGGTTAAAATACAGACAGAAGAGGCAGGAGTTTGGATGGTTGGATGGGATTCCCTTAGGATTTTACAGCTGATAAAGATGCCACTTCTTGTGCATGTCCCAAGAATCATTAATCCTCTTTTACTCTGTTGGGATGAGTCTTTTTTTGTTCCTGTTCAGAGTGGTTACTAACTTAATCTTCTCTCCTCTTGCTGTCATCTGCATTGTGCTTTCCACCTGTTGTTGGCATGTCCTTTACCTTCTCTTTCCCTGCCACGTCCACCTACACACTGACTCACCGTTGGCTTTGAAGATGTGGAAGATGTCAAGTTTGTGATCAACTATGACTATCCAAACAGTTCCGAGGATTATGTGCACCGCATTGGCCGAACAGCCCGTAGCACCAACAAGGGCACGGCCTACACCTTCTTCACCCCGGGAAACCTCAAGCAGGCCAGAGAGTTGATCAAAGTGCTGGAAGAAGCTAATCAGGCTATCAATCCCAAACTGATGCAGCTGGTGGACCACAGAGGAGGCGGCGGAGGAGGGGGTAAGGGTAAGTCCTGGAGTTTTCCAGGTACTGCCAAGGTATCTTTTTGTATTCATTGTGCTTTGCTTTTTTAATTCTGTGAAGGCTTTAAGTATGCTGCTCAATAACAAAGGACAGTGCTTAATAGTTTTTATAATCTCTTCTGAGTAAGACAGTGTGATGGTCCTACATTTCCAGCATATTATTTCTGTAGATAATATAAAATTGACCTTTGTATTTTTAAGTACCTGGTGTATGTTCAAAATTAAGCTGAATTATGGCTACTTTAACACCTAATTTTACACCATTGTGTGGTGGTAGAGCAGGCAAAGTTATTGGATCTAAAAATTAGTTGCAAAATATACTAGAACCTACACCTCCTGACTACCATTTTGGTACCCCCCCCCCCCCCAGCTTATTGCATGCATATTTAAGCTCTACATTGGGATTACCTGAGAGGTTTATATATACAGGTTTTTGAGCTTTAGAATTGAGCTAGGAACCTGAGCATCTTTCCTAAAGCTTGTGAGGTGCTTCTGATGCAGTTAGGACCATAAAGCAATTCTTGAGAACCACTGTGCACTAGTAGAGGGTCCCTTCTTTCATGGTGGTATGAGCTTAGCTGCTTGTCTTTTTTTTAATCCTATGGTAAGTCACATACCTCTTTGCCATTGTTCCTACATTTTTAAGATTTTGCTTCTTGGTAATCCTCAAGTAAATACAGTTTCTAAATGGATAGGAAATTGAAATTCTTTATGTTTACCATTCTTTTGAATATGTCTCATTAAAGATTCAAATTAAAGTACTGATTTGGAGGCTGGGCTAGTTAAATATCAAGAAAGAATGTTGAATACTTTTGTACCTAGTAGAACATTTACATGTAGTTAGGTTTTCATCATAAGTCTGGCATTAAAAATTCATTGTATCCTTCATCAGGAGGTCGTTCTCGATACCGGACCGCTTCTTCAGCCAATAACCCCAATCTGATGTATCAGGATGAGTGTGACCGGAGGCTTCGAGGAGTAAAGGATGGTGGCCGGAGAGACTCTGCAAGTTATCGGGATCGTAGTGAAACCGATAGAGCTGGTTATGCTAACGGCAGTGGCTATGGAAGTCCAAATTCTGCCTTTGGAGCACAAGCAGGCCAATACACCTATGCTCAGGGCACCTATGGTGCAGCTGCTTATGGCACCAGTGGCTATACAGCCCAGGAATATGGCGCTGGCACTTACGGGGCTAGTGGCGCCACCTCAGCTGGGAGAAGTTCACAGAGCTCTAGCCAGCAGTTTAGTGGGCTAGGCCGGTCTGGAGCAGCACCACAGCCACTGATGTCACAGCAGTTTTGTAAAGCCTCCTGGACTTCTAGTATGAAAGGTAATGGGGTAGAAGGTTATTATTTTTTTTTTTACCTTCTTTTTTCTTTTTTCCCCTCCTCCTTCACGTAAATGAACCACTCAAGTGGTAGTGACTTGTGCAGACTTACTACATTTAAAGGAACGCTGTCTTTCCCTTTTTTTCTGTTCCCCTTCTCTTTTTAAACGCCCCCCCCCCCCAACCATTGTGGTTTGTCTTTTATGCAGATTAGTTAGAATTCACTGGCAGGGTTCTTCTGCCCGCCCAATTGATCCAGTCTGTAATAGTTTTTGTAAAAAATACATATATATAGCTGACTGGAAGAGATCCCCCCCCCCAACTTCTTGCATGTTGAGGATATTTGAGCTATTTTTCATCTTAAAAGAAAAAGCAAGGTATTAGGCCCTTTTTATGGGAGTCCTTTTTGTTGTCCTGAGTTGGGGGTGGGTGGGGAGGGTAAAGGGTTGAATTCTGCAGAAGAAGATGGCATCTGTGCTTCAAATTGTTCCTATTACTGAGTTAAACCAAGAGAGAGTTCCCGGCGTGTTTTCCATGATCGGTTTTAATGTCTCCCAAGCTGGAACAGGCTTCCTCAGGCCTGATGAGTTTTTAAGACAGTGCTTTGCCATTGTCCTTTTGGCTGATTGCTTTTTAAGTGCATTCACAGTTTTGAAAAATTCCTAATTGGTTTTGTCTCCCAATCTGGCCTCCCCCTTCCCAGTGACTAAAAAATAATCATTTTAGTGTCAGGTTAGAAATTGAATTGCCAAGTCTGAGTATTTTAAGTGTATCTTTTTAAATTAAAAACCCAAGTGTTTATTGCAATGGCTAAAAGGAGCATCTCAGCATCTGGGTGGAAGCTGCCTATTTTTCTTCCCCATATAAACAGGGACCATCTGTGAAATTCATTTTTCAACCAGACAGCTGCTGTTCGCAGAATGAACATAAATGCTCACTGGAAATTTACTTTATTAACCAGTTAAGTGCATTCACCTGCAGTGTAAAAACCACCTTTAATTATAAACAGTATACTCAATGGGCAATTTTTTCTTTTTTTTTTTTTAACTATAGAGCTAGAATAAAAGCAACTCTTTGCCAGCTACTCAGCCCTTTTGGCCAAGTTATCTTGAATAAAGAATCTTAAGGGTTTATTAAGAAAGAACTCTTACTCTCTTCATACTCTGTTGTCTGCTGTGCTTTGTAACAGCTGTGGGTGCAAATTTTCCTTGACATCCTTTTGCACTCAGCTTTCTACAGGTAGGTAGTGCTTACAAAAAGGTACCGAGGACTATAACCTAAGTCCTTTTCCTTTTCCTCCATCTGAAGGTAGGTGAGTTTGTCCCCTTCATAATAACATTGACTGTTTCACTGAGACTACCTGTAATAGGCCTGGAAAGACTTTTCTGCGCTCGTGTTCACTAGAACAGTACAGGGAGATCAGACAGAGTCAGAAACCTGTCATCTAGTGTAAGACGTAATTAATGCTGTCATCAGTATTGCTCATTCACAGTGTAGTTGAAGGGGGAAGGGGCCACTGCATTTTTTGGCTAAGGCCTGAGTGCGTGCTCATTTGTAAGATCCAAATATCTAAATACTTGAGTTTTTTTGTTTTCCTTTTGAAATTAAGGGAGAGAGAAGGGTTTGTTTCTGAGAGGTTCTGAAAGTGTGGTTGAATATACAACATACAGGTAGGTTGTGAGCATAAGTTGAAATATATGCATGTGAGATCTTTGCCCACCCCTACACCTCTCCCCCACTCCTTTCTTTTTTCTTAATTTCTTTTTCCCCCCTTAATAGAAGTTGAGGCCGAAAGAGGGTAGTAGGCACAGGAGAAACATGGCAAAACTGCTCTGTGCTTTCAAACCAAAGTGTTTTCTTCTTGCCCTCCTAAAAAAAATGTTTTTGTTTGTTTAAGCACTGACCAGTCGATTGTAGGCATTTCTACATGAGAATTCTGATTTTTTTTTTTCAAAACAGGTGCCACCAGAGGGGCTGTCATACTTGCAGGTCTGAGAAGCGTCCCTTTTTAGGAAAGGTCTCTGGGCAAGCAGGCAATAAATAGTTTGTCTGTTGCTTGCCTCCCTTTTTTCCACCAGGGATATTGTAATCATATAGTCAAAATAGCATGTTCCAAATCCCAAAAGCTGTTGTGGCCTGAGCACAGCTGGAACCTAGCAGGGTTGTTCCTGTAATCTAGAGTAACCTTCTGCCTCTGCCTGACGCTCACAATTCAGGGTCAGCCTTAGCTTCAGAGCACAGGCAACAGGATCTCATTTGATGCTAGGTATGCGGTCATGGTTGAACTCACTTAGGGAAAGGATTTCAACATTAAGCTATGGGGCTGCTTCTCCCCAATCCCTCAACAATTCATTGTGTGGAGTTCTGTCATCTCAAAGGTTGGTGGCTTTTGCTTGGGATCAGTGCTCTCTATTCATGTCCTTGCTGGTCTCTGAACACATTCCTGTTGCGTTAAGACTTGAAAGATTGTAGATGTGTGATGTCCAGGCACAGGATGCTAAGAGCTATGTTACTATTCTTAGTTTGTAAATTGTCCTTTTGATACCATCTTGTTTTCTTTTGTAGGTATAAATAAACACTGTTGACAATAAAGTGTGAGCTTTTTATTACTTAAAAATTGTGACTACAGCCAATGGTGGTCCTCTTACATTTTTTTATTTGCTTCAAGACGGATTGGGGATGGAAATTGCCTTAGTTATTAGCACCTAAAAATGTGAAAGGGAGGTGGGATTGATTGGTGTTAATGCAAATTTGAGTCACAAAGCAAAAAACAAGACCTAGTAGGGTAAAAGGGCTTGGGTATGTTTCCTCATCAGTAAATGGTCGTCATGCTAACAGTACTGACCTAAGATTGTAACTGGGTTAAAGTATGCTGAGTGTGGAACTACAATGAGCCACAGTAAGACCTGAGTTGATTTTAAAGGTGAGCGTGAAACTAAGTCTTGCCAGAGCTTGTAAATTTGGTGCTTTGTACTCAGAGGGACATCTTTCCAGATTGGGATTGCCGTAGCATGCCTCACACGAGGGCCTGAGAGGCCGTAGTTTATTTGACCCATTTGTGAGTTGGCCAACTAAGGTTTGATATTCCTGTTGACATTGTATGGCACCATTTTTATGTAATTGGCCCAAGTGTTTTGTTACCTCTGTAAGGGAGGTATTATTGATGAGGTCTTCTAGATAGAATGATCAGTGCTTTGCTGAAATCCATGCACACTGAGCAGTTTTCTGGCTTTAATTTTAACATTTGGTCTGAGTCCTGTATTAAGTTGCTCGGTAGAACATCTCAAATAGTTGGCTTCATATCCTTGTTCTTTGAGGGCCCTCAAATTGGCATTGGAAGACTTAACTTCTTTCCTTTAAGGACTAGAAGAAAATAAGAGATGGAATATTATGTTCTTTCAGGAAAAAAAAAACATACTGATGAGAGGACTCCTTTATAACTTTGTGCATAATCTTAGTATCTCTAATGCCCAGTTCACAGCTGTTCAGATGAAAAAGCCAAGAGGGGAACTTCACTGCAAGTTAACTACATCTCACTGACCCCCCATCTTGGTTTCTGATACTCCCACCACCACTCCCTTATGCCATAAGTTTAACACCTGATTCCTTTAGTCCACATCTCAAACAGTCCATCAGCAGCCCCTCATTCTACTCCCAAGAGAACTGTTCACTTCTCTCCACTGATGACTTCTTCCCAACCATTGCAATTGCCCCTAAACTATCCTGCTTTGGCAGCTGGTGGATCGGTTTAAATCGGTGGTTGCCAACTGGTGGTCCATGAGGTCTGAAAGGTTGGCGACCGCTGGTTTAAGTGACTCCAACAGCAGCCCTTTGTAATCAGAATGCACAGCAAACCCCTCACCCTGGCCTATATGTCCCTGTGTGACTGACACACTTGACCTCTGACATCCCCAAGTTTATAGATCTGGACCCCACTAGCCTTTTTGTACTAAGCAGATTCTTGCCTTGGGGCTTATATAGTATATATAAGCTGTTCCTTATTTTCCAAACTTGCCTCATAGCGGTCTTCCCTATACACAGGGTTAGCACTGTACATACAGCATATACCCTTTGTACAATTTTCTTCATAGCACCATGTCCTGAAAATATTGTATATGTCTTCCCATTAAAATAAGCACCATGAGGGGCAGAGACTTGCCTCTGTTCACATTTCCATATCCACTCAAATACGGAATGGCAGGTGCCAGCAACACTGCTGTGATCTCCCAACACCTACCTTTGGTCACATACAAGTAGAAGAAGTCACAGTAGAAGATGGTTTGTACCACTCCAGACACCACTGCAATTTGGTCATAGAAACCCTCGGTCTGGTACCGCCTGATCCAGTTAGCCAGGTAGAGTGCCCGGTACAGGCCCAGAAAGAACAGGTAGTGGGTAGTAATGGTCTCAGCCTCTCCAGTCTTGCTGATCATGAAGAGCTGGGGCAGGATGGCCACCGACTCCAGGTAGATGGAGAAAGTCCAGAGGATCTGAGCCAACGAGATAAGTGTCCAGAGGAGGTTGGTCAAGACCAAGAAGAGGCCCATCTCTTTAAAGGAATTTCTAAAGTATGTTTACTGGAGAGAATACAGTGAAGTAAAAAATCATGTTCTTAATAATTTTTAATATATATCATTCAACCTCTTTAAAGAAGCTTTTTTCCCCCCCACCACAGCGTGAACATTTCCATAGCTCAGTATTTTTAACTGCAGAATTTTATTGTATAAACTCCCCTTGATTGAGGCCATGGCTTCTCAAAATGTAGACTGAGAACACCAGCATCAGAATCTCGCGAGGTGCTTGCTGCCCCAGGTTGTTGGGCTACAGCTCAGACTACAGAGTTGAAACCTTGGCCTGGGCTGTGCTCTGGTGCCCACTAACCACCCGCTGGGCAGGTCTCAAGAGCCTTAGGTGGTGCTGTGAGGCTTTGTGCCTGATCACCACGGGAAATGTGCTGTTTTCAAATGGGGCGGTATGGACAGCTTGTTGCTCATTTCTAAACCTCCCGCTGAACAATCAGTAATAAAACAGGCCCAGGCACGAGTCCAGAGGGCAGGACGTTGGGCGCACGTTTACCTTTGAGAATTAGTCCCCGGGGCCCCTTGCTTACCTCCAGGGGAGTGAAACTATAGTTCTCAAGGAAGGAGAGGCCAATGACTGGGACCAGAAGAAACTCCAGGCGGAACGTGTCATTCTCACTGTCAAACGTTTTCCGAAATTTTCCATAGATCATGTACACTGTGACATAGGCGCAGAGGAGAAAAACCAGCTGCAAAGGGGGA